TTAAAAATACAAAAGGGGAAATAACTCCCATATGTAGTCTCCGGACCGTTTCGGTCAAAATTATTTTTAAGATCCTGAAGATATAACAAGCAAATTGGTGAAATAATTTTGTCGTAATCTTTAATGGTTGCGAAGGAGATTTGTACACAAGAAAAACTGTGTTTGGGGAGATAACTCTTACAATAAAAAGTGTTCGGCTTAACAGGGTCAGTTTCAAAATCGTAATAACTGTTCGATATTATATGCAAAAAATCTAAGCGACATCTTGCGAAACAAAAAAGCACCGTCAGAAAAAAGTGGCGGAAGAAGAAAAAAGTAATAATGAATATAAATCAATTGCTTTAAAAAAGCAATTGTAAACGGTCTTTCCCCTCTGAAAACATGATTGGTTGGTTGGTTGGTTGGTTTGATTTGTTTGTTTGTTTGTTTGTTTGTTTTATTTGTTCAATGCATGTTTTAACGTCTACCAGTCAATTGTTCACATTACAAGGAGAGAAAAAGAAAGAAAAAACCACAAGTAATAGAAAGAAACAGGTTTAATAGCCCCCCCCCTAAATAAAAAGAGGGGAGGGACCCCAAGTCCTCATTTTCAGACAAGAGTCCATATTATTGTGTTGGTTAAGTTTCTATATTTAGTTTGGAAAGTCTTTATTCTATTTTAGGTCCCGCGCGCGTCTTTGTCTCGCGCCTGATTGTGGCGTCACGTGACGACGCTTTATAATAGCGAAAACTTTTTTATTTCTTTTTAGGTGGAGACGTTGGACAGACAACATGTATAGTGACGGAATACACACAATGTATTTCTTTTGTCATTGTAGGTAATTGACGTTTCGATCACAGTTCACGAGCAGTGCATGCTTTGGATTTAATTGATCCTGTGTAACTTTAAAACACGTTTATCGATTATTTTCATACAATGTACATTTTTCAGCAGCAGTTTGTAACACAGATTTGTATTTCAATCTAGGAGCGGACATTTTATTGTAGGATTTCACTGAGATTTACGGAACTAGCAAGCGATTTTTACGGCATTGCAATTTCTTTTCTCTAGGAAAATTCTTGAAAGATATCTGCACCACGTTGTTTTATGAAGATTTAATACATGTATACCCTGCTGACTGCAAAATTTGGGGTCAATTGGACATGTACTTTCTGAGAACATCTGATAACAAGCATGTGGATTTTTTTTTTTCAGAAGAGATGTAAATACATTATTTAACACATGAGACGGAAACATGCCTACAATAAATGATTGATTGGTTGGTTGGTTGGTTTATTGATTGATTGATTAATTAATTATTTAATTGGTTGGTTGATTGATTTGTTGATTGGTTGGTTGGTTGATTAAACACGTGGGATAGGGTCTCTTGAAACAAGCGAAAAAAAGAAACAAAGGAAATCTTGGACCCGGTATTAAACACATGAGACGGAAACATGCATACAATGAATGATTGCTTGGTTGGTTGGTTTATGGATTGATTGGTTGGTTTGTTGGTTGGTTGGTTGGTTGATTAATTTAACATGTGGGATATGGTCTCTTGAAACAAGCGAAAAGATCTTGGACCCCATATTAAACACATGAGACGGAAACATGCAGGCATGCAATGATTGATTGGTTGGTTAGTTGATTAATTGATTGATTGATTGATTGATTGGTTAATTTATTAATTAAACACGTGGGATAGGGTCTCTTGAAACAAGCGAAAAAGAAACAAAGGAGATCTTGAACCCGGTATTAAACACATGAGACGGAAACATGCATACAATGAATGATTGCTTGGTTGGTTGGTTTATGGATTTGATTGGTTGGTTGATTGATTGGTTGGTTGGTTGGTTGGTTGATTAATTTAACATGTGGGATATGGTCTCTTGAAACAAGCGAAAAGATCTTGGACCCCATATTAAAAACATGAGACGGAAACATGCAGGCATGCAATGATTGATTGGTTGGTAGGTTGATTGAAAGATTGATTGATTGAGTCATTAAATGATTGATTGATTGATTGATTGATTGATGAATTAATTAATTAAACACGCGGGATAGGGTCTCTTGAAACAAGCGAAAAAGAAACAAAGGAGATCTTGGACCCCGTATTAAACACATGAGACAGAAACATGCATGAAATGATTGACTGACTGATTGATTGATTGATTGAATGATTGATTGATTGATTGGTTGGTTGTTTGGTTGATTGATTGATTGGTTAGTTGGTTGGTTGGTTGGTTGGTTAGTTGATTAACACAGAGAACGGATCCACTTGGATCCTGCAAAAACGGAATTGAAAGCCTAGATACTATATCTAAACACATGGGGTTTATCTTTTGAGAGATCACTTAACAAGTAGTAAGGTTAAAGGTCAATGTCAACCTACAAAAGCATTAAAACACAATCAAACTCTTTAAATAGTGCCAAAAACACATAATTTGCCTCTTTGTACTCTACTATATATTGTTAATGAGTTATATTACCATACAGCTAAAATTAGATATAAAAGGGGCGAAAACTCCCATTAAATGTCTACGTACCCATTCAACTAAAATTTACGTGTTACGACATGTCGGAACTAACAATTCTGTAAAAATATGTTGATAATATCTTACACTAGTAACGGGTTTTACTACTGAAACGGTCATTTTAAACTGAACAACTCTTAAATGCCTGAATTTACCGCAAGGAAAAATGTCAAGATCTTTTTCAGTTGTTCAGTACATGTTCAGTACACTAACTACTGCAAATCGATTAAGTACCAGTCAGTACTGGTTCAGGTAATTAAGAAAAAACGCCTAGCTTTAAATCTAGTACTGACAAGTACATTTTAGTATACTTCAGTTCATCGATGGACTCGTTGTCCAGTACTTTTCAGTGTATCAAAATAATATGAGGATAGCTTCCCTTTGATTAGCAGAGGAATCGAAATAAAAAAATTAAAAAAAGTGAAGAAAAAAAATTGAATAAATAAATATAAAGAGACATGATCGGCAACGGGACTGTAGATACACGGTTTTATTAAAATGCGTTTCATTTTCATAAATTGGTAATCTATAACATAGATAATAACTGTTAAAATATTTGTATGAAAATAGCAATAACCAAATAACATTCTTATAATTATTCTTCAATGGTTATGCAAATATAAAATATTGATGACTGTAAACTGAGACTACAGCTGGCCCAAGACCACAATTAATGACCCCACTTTTCGTTGTTCACGAATATAGTTCCCTTTAATTAAAGTGTATTTTTTCTTAATTTTTTTTCTTTGCCTTTCTCATTGATTTCTTAGTTTTTATGGGTTGGAAGTGAAAGAAGAGAGGTAAAATAAATTTTTGGATGTTGTATTTAAACTGATTTTGATATGGAAAGAGTGATTAGGCCAAGTGCAAAAAGGTAATATTTACAGTTTTCGGAACATCTCTTGACTTGTCGATAGGGGTATGGCTGTGTAGTAGCTAAATTTGTAAGAGTGATTGGTTCAATCTTTCTGAATTTTGGATATATTTTTGGACTAGTACTATACATTACACACACAAAAGATTTGACAAAAATGCAAGGTGCAATTTTTTTAATGAGACAAAACGTTATAAAGAACTAATAGAGGAATTAATTGTGGTCTGTGGCCTAAGAGGCTGATACCCAAATTCTTGAAAATAAAGAAAGGACCAACTTTTTTGGCAGAAAGTCACTTGAAATGATAAATATTATTGGTTTATTGTAATTTTATTCAATATTAATCTTTAAACCGGTTATAATATGCAATTTTAGGCATTTTTGGCCATTTTGATGCACTGAAAGCCCTTTGACCCCAGTTTCAGCCCTTTCTGTCAATATTGTTGGACCCTTTTTATATTTTAGAATAAATTACTACTCTATTGTCTTACAAAACATCACATCTTCAAAATGGATGCATTTTATCTAAAATATAGTCAAAAATTAAGAGATAGCTCTGCACCTGGCTATAATGGGCAGTGTCAAATTTGGACAGGTTTATGTACACCTAATGGCAAATATGGAGTTATTAATTGTAAATTTCCAGATGCCAGGGGGTGGAGACAAATGCATGTGCACAGGCTTGCCTACATGGTGCATCATCAGAATATTTTTATTGATAAAACTGATGATGTTTCGCACCTGTGCCACAATTCGAAATGCATTACTGTCGAACATCTGTCGTTGGAGCCTCATGGTTTCAACAGCAGCCGGCAGTCATGCGTTTCAACCGGTTCCTGCTTAGGCCACCCAGATCCCCTCCCTCCCTGCAGAGTAGAGTTAAAAATGGACAATAATAATTTGGGTAAAATAATTATCGGGTACTTTTTTATTTTCATTTTACTAATTTTTTTTTCTGGGGCAGGCCAAAATTTTATATTTTTATCAGAATGGGAGAAAAAAAGGGAAAAAAAATTGGAAGCTAATGTACAACAACTTTAGATTCTTTTTTTTGATATTTGTGTGGTCCTGAAAAGGACCTTTTATGGTTTTGTTTGCTGGTGGCTCTGGTATCTCAGTCTGCAGCAGGTCTTGGAAGCTTTGATTTGCAGTAGCTGTCATGGTCCTGGAACTGTAAGGCAGGCTGTGGATCTAGTTGACCTTTGCAGTAATAGTCATGCTTTTTGTTCATTTCTCTCCATGTCTTGTGCTCTGCAAGCTTTTCTGCATTCTGCTTTAATCTCCTTTCTTGAACTGCTGGTCTTAGAATGTAATCTTGATTGTATTGAAAGTCAGTGTCCATTTTCTTCAGGTGAAGTTTACTTCGTTCTGAAAGGTCTACCCCTAGATTTGTACATTTCAGTTGTGTCGAGGTACACGGCATGTTGTTATTTCTATGTACTCCTGAAGCAAGTCGTCCTTCCATATTTTTGGAGTAAATTACATTCTTGGGCAAATTAAGACTCAGTGCTCTATGTACTCCTTCATTTTTGTTTGTATTGTCATAAAGTTTCATACTTTCAATAGCTACTGAAGTTAATTTCATTTTCAGGATTTCTTGAAGTAAAAATTTATCTGTTTTATCCATTTGCAGGGCAGTGATCTGGTATGTGGACAAGTATGATGAACGACTCCACCAGTTAAGTGCAGCATCACCTTTGCAGACAATGGAATATTCCGGACACAGGGTGCAGTCACTATCATAGCAGCGAAGAGTTGCCTCGAGCACTTTTGGTAATTCTTTGCTTATTTCATCAATGTTTTTGTCATATTTCTCCATCAGTTTCTTTAATATCATGGAGCATCTGCACTTTAGATCTTTGCTAAACACCGTCCTCAGTTGTTTATTTTCCTCTTTTGTTTTTCCATGGAACATTCCGGCACTGTATTGAGCTCGCAAAGAGGCCCTGAATTGAGACTGTCCCAAATGTACATGATCTGCCAGTCTTTCCACTTTCCACAATGGTTCGAGAGCTGTAAGGGCGTCTTCAATACCTCTAGCTGAACGTCCATCTCCATCTGTGGTCACATACCGTACAAGACATTTCTGGAGTCCTAGCTGATTTCCTATCTCTTTTCCCAGCTCGTACTCTGACAGGGCAGCAGCTCTGTATAAATTTGCTGTACATTCTTCATGGCCAGGACATTCTATTGGAAAGCCTTTTCCTCTAAGCTAAGCCCCTTTCCAACACATCTTATTCTGCGCAACTGCAGCTACTATATACTTTTTATCTGTCATTGTTTCTATTGCAAGGGCAAATGCTTGAGTGGCATTCTGACCGGGTTTCTTTTTTACTAACAATTGTGTTGCTGTTGTATCGAGCATCCACAGTTATGTTAATTTCATCTTCTGGGACACCTCGCTTTCTGCTGTCTTCTTTTACTAGTTCCAGTTTCTGTGCCATGTCTGTTTTGTTCAGTTTGACCATTTCAGCTGCTACTCTACTGGATGTGCGTTGCATACTGCTTCGACATGGTGGTGGTGTGTCCATTCCTGCAAGGACCTGTACGAAATGGGACGCCAGTAAATGACACGGAAACCAGGCGTAGAAATCATACTCTATCAGGAGCGTCATTGTAGTGTTTACGGAATGCATGTCCAGGCGTCAACCAGGCGTCAACCAAGCGTAACTGAGGCGGAAACCAGGCGTAAAATTAGGCGTAATATTTAAATGAGAACGCCTGGTCCACAGAAAACCAGGCGTTATATGCAAATGAGTACGCCTGGTCAATAAAAAAACCAGGCGTAATATCCTTACATAATACTACACTTATTTTAAATCAGTGTATTACCCTAGCTGTGTACTTTTGTGTATTTGATACAAACTTCTGTACTTTTGCTTAAATTTCTCATTGTTTGACATGAAACTTGAAATATTAACCATTAATTGAAGAAGCTATATAAATAAATACATATTAGGCAGACACTAGCTCAAATAAGTTTAAGTTTAAATTGGAATTATGACAATTAATTCTTCCTGAAATACTTTTTAAACCAGCATTTTAACTAAGTTTTTTTTTAAATTAATGTCATTTGAACCAAAATATCAATGATAATACTGCAATTTAACTTAATGTGAAAGATTTTAATGTTATCATCCAAGGATGAAGGTTTTCAGAATTCAAAATTACTGTTAAAAAAAAACTTAGTTACTTACATAATTATCTTTTACCATGTATATTACTTTCTTTTTATTTCACAATTTTCATTAATCAATTTGATTCCATAATTCCAATTTCAAATATCTTCCAAAAAGCACAAAACAAGCTTAATTATCCCTGAATATATAAAGCTGCCATAAGTCCAACTCTTGCAAAATAATACCAAAGAGCCAAATTTTGAAAAAAAATCCCATGATCCTTTATCAATAAAGCATTATGGGTATTATGATTTACGCCATACCAACAGTTTTACGCCCGTAGGAAATTTTACGTCTTGCTTATTTCAATTTACGCCAGGTTTACCATATTTTCTACGCCCGTAAGGACTACAAATTTACGTTTCCTGTTCCCTTACGCCTGGATCTGGACACGTAACGACCACTTACGCCTGGTTTACGCCAGATTTCCAGGCGTAATACGCCTTATAATTTCGTACGGGGAGTTGCTGCACTGTTGTATTTCCAATTGGGCAGTCCTGCAAAGCAGATGCAAGGGCTACATTTGGTTGTCCTGGGTTGGGTCCTGGTTTGCCATTAGCTATTTCTTTGTACATCTTTATTCTGTCTCCAATAAAACCACAGGTTATGCATTTCAGGGTATACTGCCAGCAAGTTCCCCACTTTTTCTGTTCATGATAGTCAACATTAGATTTAGGACAGGATGGTGAGTCCACTTGGTGTTTATCATAAGTAGTGTTGTACAAGCTGAGTGTCAGTTGACTGTCTATCCACCTCATACCAAAATGTAATGCTTTATTTTCTTCTCTTTTCAGGTCAGCTTGCGAGCGAAGAGTACAGATGTTACCAGTCGTCTCTATTTTGCAGTCAGAAGATTGAAAAGTTTGCCGCACATGGGAAGTACGTGCACTACCTGATTGAGGGATCGGTATTGATGTCTGGCTTCGGCTTCTACCACTGGGTTTTCCAGCTTGGAACCATCCAGGATTTCTTGGAGAGTTGTCTTTCTTTGACCTGTTCTTGGTATAGCCTTTAGTGAACATTTTGAAAATTTAACTGGATCCTTAATATCCCAACTTGGACTGATAGCATAAACTTTGGACATCCTTATATTTATAATCAAGCATTGTATGATATCTGCTTTGATGTACATTTTTTCCTTTGATGCAGTCTGTGGTGTAGATTTCAAGAGACCACCTTCAGAGGCAACTCTGAATTAACAGAGTTTTCTTAGCAGTATCCAAATAAGCCAATTAATCTATTATTAGGGGTCCAGATTAAGATTGTTTCATCCAAATCTATTGAAAAATGTTATCATTTATTGAGAGATTAATTTAACAAAGAAGCATATTTATTTTTTTTTATTAATTTTTTTTTAATTTTTTTTATCAAAATGCAATATATTTTTTAATAACTATTTTTCTTACAGAAATCTGTTATAAAATTAAAATCTATTTATCTATAAAAATAAACATAACAGAAAACTTCACTAAAACGTTTATTTCAGAGTAATATTTCAAGGAATTAAAAAATTACACTAGTTTGAAATTTTCATTACATGTAATCTGACCTGATGTTACACATGAATATTGGTACCTCAGGTAAACAGGCCAAGTACCTGTGAAATTTGTCTGATTAGTGTTTATGCTATATTTTACTTATTACAGATAAGATAAGCAATGTTTTAAGATAAGTTTGAAAGTTAATTTTCTTTTTAAATATTTTTAATGGAATTTTATTTATGTTCAGTGTTGGTATATTCACTAAATTTACAAGAATTTTAGAAAAAAAATAATTTCAATTTAAAAAACATAATTTGTGATAAATTTTCTTTCAGATTCTAGAAATTTAACCAATTAGCTACTATAGACATTTTACTTTTTTAAGATATCATGTTTAACAAGAAAGTTATTAAACTTTTACTTTTCCTAGTAGTTACATGTTTTGAAAGTTTCATGCCAGAAAACAACTAGAATTATCAACATGAGGGTAGTGTTATTAAAACTATCAGAACTGCCACAAAACTTGTCAGATTGATTTGATATATGGTATGCTAGTTCGATATAGAATTAGCTTAATGCGTGCCATTTTTTGGGGTATTATATTAAAATAAAAAGGGTCTAATAGGCTGATACCCAAATTCTTGAAAACAAAGAAAGGACCAACTTTTTTGGCAGAAAGTCACTTGAAATGATAAATATTATTGGTTTATTGTAATTTTATTCAATATTAATCTTTAAACCGGTTATAATATGCAATTTTAGGCATTTTTGGCCATTTTGATGCACTGAAAGCCCTTTGACCCCAGTTTCAGCCCTTTCTGTCAATATTGTTGGACCCTTTTTATATTTTAGAATATATTACTACTCTATTGTCTTACAAAACATCACATCTTCAAAATGGATGCATTTTATCTAAAATATAGTCAAAAATTAAGAGATAGCTCTGCACCTGGCTATAATGGGCAGTGTCAAATTTGGACAGGTTTATGTACACCTAATGGCAAATATGGAGTTATTAATTGTAAATTTCCAGATGCCAGGGGGTGGAGACAAATGCATATGCACAGGCTTGCCTACATGGTGCATCATCAGAATATTTTTATTGATAAAACTGATGATGTTTCGCACCTGTGCCACAATTCGAAATGCATTACTGTCGAACATCTGTCGTTGGAACCTCATGGTTTCAACAACAGCCGGCAGTCATGCGTTTCAACCGGTTCCTGTTTTGGCCACCCAGATCCCCTCCCTCCCTGCAGAGTGGAGTTAGAAATGGACAATAATAATTTGGGTAAAATAATTATCGGGTACTTTTTTATTTTCATTTTACTAATTTTTTTTTCTGGGGCAGGCCAAAATTTTATATTTTTATCAGAATGGGAGAAAAAAAGGGAAAACAATTGGAAGCTAATGTACAACAACTTTAGATTCTTTTTTTGATATTTGTGTGGTCCTGAAAAGGACCTTTTATGGTTTTGTTTGCTGGTGGCTCTGGTATCTCAGTCTGCAGCAGGTCTTGGAAGCTTTGGTTTGCAGTAGCTGTCATGGTCCTGGAACTGTAAGGCAGGCTGTGGATCTAGTTGACCTTTGCAGTAATAGTCATGCTTTTTGTTCATTTCTCTCCATGTCTTGTGCTCTGCAAGCTTTTCTGCATTCTGCTTTAATCTCCTTTCTTGAACTGCTGGTCTTAGAATGTAATCTTGGTTGTATTGAAAGTCAGTGTCCATTTTCTTCAGGTGAAGTTTACTTCGTTCTGAAAGGTCTACCTTAGATTTGTACATTTCAGTTGTGTCGAGGTTAACGGCATGTTGTTATTTCTATGTACTCCTGAAGCAAGTCGTCCTAGCATATTTTTGGAGTAAATTACATTCTTGGGCAAATTAAGACTCAGTGCTCTATGTACTCCTTCATTTTTGTTTGTATTGTCATAAAGTTTCATACTTTTCAATAGCTGCTGAAGTTAATTTCATTTTCAGGATTTCTTGAAGTAAAAATTTATTTGTTTTATCCAGTTGCAGGGCAGTGATCTGGTATGTGGACAAGTACGATGAACGACTCCACCAGTTAAGTGCAGCATCACCTTTGCAGACAATGGAATATTCCGGACACAGGGTGCAGTCACTATCATAGCAGCGAAGAGTTGCCTCGAGCACTTTTGGTAATTCTTTGCTTATTTCATCAATGTTTTTGTCATATTTCTCCATCAGTTTCTTTAATATCATGGAGCATCTGCACTTTAGATCTTTGCTAAACACCGTCCTCGGTTGTTTATTTTCCTCTTTTGTTTTTCCATGGAACATTCCGGCACTGTATTGAACTCGCAAAGAGGCCCCACTAGTAGCACGATTTCAGTCTGAAACGGTCATTTTGGTCTGATCATATCTTAATCGACTGGATTTACCGCTAGAGAAAAACGTCAAGACTTTTAAGAACTTTTCAGACGCCGTTCTGATCGATAGTCGCATCAGGTAAATCAGTCCGTTAAGGCATGTCAAGATAAACAAGACTGAATCTTCTAGCGAGCTGTTAAGATCCGTTACGACTGATTCAGTCGAAATCAGACCATGGATACAAAATTACGTCAAGATGTTGTCAGACCGTGTTCAGTCGTGTTCAGATTTTAATAATTTGGACACAAAACGAGTGAAACTTTCCAAGTGTGTATCAGGGGTTGCTCCCCTTCAAGAGTAAAATACAAATTAGACGGTTTATGTTACTTTGATAGTTTACCATGTCTACTTAATTAAAAAAAAAAACAATTTCAATTCTTACTTTTTCCTATGTAATTATTAAACATGTTTTATATTAAAAAAAATATATATTGTTGTTGTTGTTTATTTAATTATTTTGCGATCGTGTTTGACTTGTGCATTCGACTTTCCTAAAGGTATCTTTTATTTTTTTATTCTGTCTATTTAGAGTCTTTTATAACTTGTTTTACATACCAGAAGCCTTCGTTTAAAAATAGAGTTTATATATTATTGGAGATGATGGTTTATGAATTCATAAATTCAAATTTATATTTGAAATATATTTGATAAATTATCATGATGATTATGCGGAAGTGAAATTGTTCCGTCGGTGTATGTGAAGTAAAGTTAAAGAATATGACTAAGTTACATATATATCCTATACAGCATAAAAAAACTGGTTTAATTTGAATTACTATCCATTAGGGACATTTTCCGATAATAATTAATCAAATCTGTCAAGTTTTATTAAAAACGGAAAACAATTCTTCACCCGTAAACGATTTAACGTTACTGTACCCTTATTTGTTGCATTCTGTCGGCGGAAAGCAGGTCGGCAAACTATAGTTTACACAAAATCGTAGAAGGGAAACTTACAGTACAATATAAGCTGCTCTGAATATTGCAATCGGTGAGTAGAAATGAACAATATTTTAAAGCATGTTCATCAGAATTTGAGAATAATCATGGATCCAAGATTTTGAAGGTATGAATCAACGTTCTATATCATCGCACTCGTGCATAGTGGCATGTTCCAATGCAACGTTAGGATGTAGGATTGTAAAAAGTTTATGCATCGTTGAAATTCATGTATGACACCATTCCCCTCCCCTTTATCATGTTTATGAAATTATGTCATTTAAACCCTTACGACTTATGTACTTCATATACATCCAAAGGGTGACAAATTGAAAGGAAAAGAAAAAAGGTTACTCTTGGTCTTCATCCAGTGGCGGGGCCAGGGGTTCCTGGGATTGGACCCCCCTTTTTTGGAGGATCAATGCATTTGAAAGGGGACATATAGTTTAAACCCCCTTTATCCTGGGTCGGGACCCTCCCCCCTTTTAAAAATGGCTGGATCCACCCCTGTTCATGGTCTTACTGTTAAACCCTAACATGTGGTGCATTGGTTTGGTTGTGCAGGATGGCCTATTACAGGACCTATACATATTGTATGATAATGTTAATGTATTGATAATTGTCTCGTCCTAAATTTGCGTGAATAATTTGTCACTGGATTTTTTATTACCAACATCCAACCAATCTTTACATGTCCATATTCATATAATAACTTTGCTAACGCTGGTTTATAAGTATGTCCCTTGTTTTACTTAATTACCTTGTGCCCGATGTGGGCGATGCCGATGTACAATAATTACTATTATAAAATTACTTAATAGAATTTGAGATAATTCAAGTTGAATTTTACTACAAATCAAATATTTATATATAAAATGTTGTGAAAATTATTAATTTTATTGACTTATTTAGCAAAAATGCATGTTCAGTATATTGTTCAAATAATTCCTGAGTCATGGACAACATGCATGAAAAGATTTTATAATATAATAAAGCATTGAAAGTGAATATCTATTAGATGTTTCAAAATAAAATTAATCATCAAAATAAAACAATGTTATTAAATTAATATTCCTGAAACAATGCACAGAGTCATAACAGTTGCCATTTAAAAACAGTTGATAAATCAAAATGAGTTAATTGTTTCATCATGTACAGTACCCCCGGGCGTGTACCTATAAGGATTCTTATTGAACAAGTGTTGTGGAGGTTTCATCTTTTCTCAAAATGAATAATTACAATGAACACGATGAATTAAATATCTGTAAATATGATGTTAATAGTGGAGGGATGACGCTCTGCCCTTATGGAAAAATAAGGCTTCTTGTAAATATTTGCGGCAATATTGCTGCAAATATTCATTTTTCGTATGCAAATTAGTTTTCTTGCAAACAGTTGCTGCAATATTGCTGCAACAATTTGCGGCAATATTGCAGCAAATGTTTGCGGGAAAATCAGTAGCTATGATTGTTGCAGCAATATTGCGGCAAATTCATTAGCTGCAATGTTGCAGCAATATTGCAGGAAAATTAATTTCTTGCAATATTGCAGCAACATTGCAGCAAATCTTTCAACAATTTCAGTTGAAAAATTAGGAATTAAAAACTAAACATTTAAAAAAGTATGATTTAATAATAAAACAAAATTTTCTCTGTCCTCTATTGGTTGTTGTGTTACATATCTGTGTATCCTTTAGTTCTGTTTCTCCGTACTCACTGTCCTTAAAGTTGAATTTTCTGATTTCAAATACTGCAAAATAAAAGTTGAAGAATTTAGCATACATTAAAAGAATAACTAAACATTATAAAGATATAAAGATATAAGTTACTACTATATATTGTAAATTCTGGACTTGTAAAATGAAAATAACTCTTTATAAAGAGATGATTACAGACCAATTTTTCCAGCATTTGTTTCACTTAAAGGGTCAATGTCTAAAACTGATCAAGTCCTTCTAGAAATTGCATATTACTATACATTTAACCTTATGCCAGTACTAGGTTGTTATTGCTTTTTTGAATATTTGTTTTTCATTGAACTATAACATGATTGGTCTTGTCTATTCTTTAAAATTTTTGTGATTAGTTGTAAAATTGAGAATGGAAATGGGGAATGTGTCAAAGAGACAACAACCCGACCATAGATCAGACAACAGCCGAAGGCCACCAATGGGTCTTCAATGCAGCGAGAAACTCCCACACCCGGAGGCGTCCTTGAGCTGGCCCCTAAACAAAAATGTATACTAGTTCAGTGATAATGGACGCCATACTAAACTCCAAATTATACACAAGAAACTAAAGATAAAAATGATACAAGACTAACAAAGGCCAGAGGCTCCTGACTTGGGACAGGCGCAAAAATGCGGCGGGGTTAAACATGTTTTTTGAGATCTCAACCCTCCCCCTATACCTCTAGCCAATGTAGAAAAAACAAACGTACAACAGTACGCACAGTAAAAGTGTGTATATATAAAAGCTAAATATTGTTGCCGTTTGTTGATAGACCTCTTATTGGCAGTCAAATCACAGATCTCTAATTTAATACCGAACTGCTTTTATTAGAAGATTTCTTGTTTCAATTTAAGTAATGTTCTTTCTAAAACATATAGTCTTAAAAAGATTTAAAAAAATATCTCCTGTCTTACACAATTTTAATAATATTCATGTGCATAAATCTATTGTCTTATACTTTTGTCAACTCTATTAACTTAAGAAAACTCTTTAAATATCACTATTTTGAACTGTAAGAGCAAGCACTTATTCAAAATGGTGGACATTCAACTCCATAATTTGTACTTACCAAAAGATGTTATTCAAATTATGTGTAAACACCAATCTTCCTAAATCCAAGAGTCATGTCAACTGAAGGCTATCATATGCACTATCCAGTGTCAATAGAATTAATTGGAACTTTTGGATCTAAATCCATTGTAAAATTCATATTACTTTGTTCATGATAGAAGACATCTTTGTTTGTTGTATGCATGTTCATGTCCAGTTCAAATTTTGAATATGTTGATCAAGGTTGCTTAGGGTATTGTGACAGTGTGATCCCTTTTAAATTTGCCCCTAAATATAAATATCAATTGCCTAAATCTTGAATATTTGTTATATATTATAATAAAAAAATAATTATATATAAGTATATATACATTTTTTTTTATCTTTGATGTTATAAGTTATAATGGAAATATATACAAAGAAGAAATGCTTTACCCTTAATTTGGCCTCAAACTCTGTGTACATTAATTTATGGTACTTCCTGTCTTTACCACTACACAGAGATAAATGGATACCAGATGGCACATTACATTTCTATCACCAGCTCATACTACTAAATAAATTGAGATGAGAAAGATAATTTGTGTATACATAGTTTTAAAATAATGATACTAGAAATTAAACAAAATGCAACCTGCAGGTGAGGCTAAATTCATTTGATGGAAAATATTAGAATTAAAAATATTGTTCATAGAAAAATGTCACAAAAAAGTGACAAAAAGGCATAATAATACATGCAGAACAAAAATTATTATGACTCAATTATTTAGATTAAACTTGTTGAAATAAATACCAAAGTATTCTTGAAATTCTTTCCTTACAAAATATCATATAAATGTGATGTACAGTTTAGGAATTCTAAAAATATAAGCATTGTTATTTGAAGATTTATTTAAAATAAATTATTCACATATCCAGATATTTCTGAGTAAAATAAAGTATGACGACAACAAATTTAGATAGTTAGAAGTATCCATAACCAAATGTTCAAAGTGTATTATTTGAACCTTAAATCTTAAAACAAATAATCATATGTAATATTTTA